TAATTAAGTAATTTTAAATTGCTCAGTCTCTGAAAGACTAAATGTGTAGCAGGAGCTTCAGAAATGTGTAGTGCATGTCTAAAATGAAGAATGTTTGAAAAGTAAAGAGGCAACAGACTGTAGTTCATTAACATTGGTATTTGACTTGTGTTGCATGTTGACTGCACTTGACTTTTTCATTTCTCTATGAGCAGTCTCTAAAAATAAAGAATGGGTTGAAGGACCTGGGCTCTCCATCTTACTGGTGACTAGAGTGGGGGTTTAGAGTTCAGACAGCCCTAAGTCATTCACCCTTAAGTACAGAGTAGGGCTATTAAACTCCTGCATTTCTGAATGTCTCCTTGCTGCTGGTTTGTGTTAAGGAGTAAAGTCTGTTTCCTGCTCTCCAGGGTTTTCCCGTTGCCTGTCTGCTGTACTTATGTCCAAAAGATTCATTTATAAATGTGACTTTTTTTTTTTTTAACTAAAACCTCTCAATGTTTAGAAATGTTATGTTCTCATTATACTATTCTGAAACCAAACGGAAACATGTAACGTATCTTGCTTCAGTGTAATTGTTAGGAGTTAAGATACTAAAGTACAGTACCTGACCAGTTACAGTTTTTAAGATTAAAACAAAACAAATCTTTAGAAGTATTTTTGAGTACTCTGTAGGCAAAAAAATTGGTACTGTTTTCATTATAGTACATTCCCTTCTTCTCTCTTTTTTTTTTTTTTTTTTTTGTCTTGTGTGTAGTGCTACACATCAACATAGCCAGTCATCCTGTGAAGCACCCAAAATGCAGAAATAATAATAATCGGTAGTGCAGAAATTCAGTAACTTGTAGAAAATTAATTTTTTTTAAATTAACCTTAAAAATCCTGCTTCTGATCATCCATCTGATTTTTCTGCCATGACACAATACACTGGAACACACAGTTGGAATGGACTGTTTATATAAAACTTCATAAATATATAAGGCTGTATTTTTCTCCTCCCAGGTAGATACAGGTGGGAAGATCACTTTATTCCTGATAGAATTCTGCACCAAATTTTTTTTAAAAAAATCTACAAACAATATTTTAAAATGCTACATGTTTTATTTGTCAAACTAACACAATATAATGACACTAGTTTTTGATAAACTATTTCAAAATACCTGCCAACAAATATGTCAGTAATAATAGAGGGTATGTCTACACTACCCCGCTAGTTCGAACTAGTGGGGTAATGTAGGCATACCGCACTTGCAAACGAAGCCCGGGATTTGAATTTCCCGGGCTTCATTTGCATAAGCGGGGAGCCGCCATTTCACGGAGCACAAACTAGGTAGTTCGAACTAGGCTTCCTATTCCGAACTACCGGTACACCTCGTGGAACGAGGAACGAGATGTACCGGTAGTTCGGAATAGGAAGCCTAGTTCAAACTACCTAGTTCGTGCCCCGTGTAGCCGCGCTGCACGGGGTTCGAACCAGCGGGGTTTTAAAAATGGCGTCTCCCCGCTTATGCAAATGAAGCCCGGGAAATTCAAATCCCGGGCTTCATTTGCAAGTGTGGTATGCCTACATTACCCTCCTAGTTCGAACTAGGAGGGTAGTGTAGACATACCCATAGATAATAAAAGAGATTTGGGAAATGTAGGTTTTTTTGACAAATAAATTCCTCAGTAGGCATATTAATATGTACCTTTTAGTAATTATTCATTTAAACTATAATACAGAAACATATTTCCTGCACCTCTCAAACAGTACAAAAGCTTAGGAGAATCAGAGGTAATGGAGGAGCTGAACAATAGGGAAGAAATTGCTAGAAAGGAGCCTGGAGTATAAACCTGAAAGGTCTGGATGGGAGAGGTACAAAATAGGTTTTTGGGGGATGGGAGAGACTATTAGAGAATTATGGAGCCTCTTCTGTGCAGACCCTGGCTGATCCCTAGTTTTTCTCATTCAGTCAGGCACATCTCCTCCCATCTGCATGTGTCCCTGCATGATCATTCAGCCACCTTAATCGCCACTCCTATTCAGTCCCTGCTCCATTCTGCTCCTGCACTAGCCTCTGTGATGTCCCAGCAGCTCCGTGTGCCCCACTTTTTCCCCTTCCCGTCCCACATATCCTATGCTTTCTCACTTAGCTCTGCAGGAAGGGTGCTGTGAGGAACTCAGCCTCTCCTCCCTGTTGACTGTTACTGCCAGTGAGCTGGCTGTCCTGTTTGGGTGCCACAGTAGCTCCTGGTGGGCAAAAGGTAGATGCAGAATGTATTTTCAGCAAAGAAAAAAAATCTGTGGGGAATGTGCATTCTGTACATGTGCAGTGGTGCAGAATTCCCTTAAGAGCAACTAGTGAAGAGAATACTATCTCTGAAGATACCTCCTCACTCATCACCCCCATAGAAGATCTTCCATTGAGAGCTAGATTTGTGGATTGAAAGAGGGCGGGGCAACTGCTGAGGAGTGATATGGGGGGCACTGGCCACCTTACCATCACTTCCTAGATGATTCCTTCCTGCGCCATCCCTGGACTCGGGGATGGCTGGCACAATCCCTTCTCGGCCCCAGACCCTGCCCCATCCTACTTCTGCGCTCCTCCTCTTCCCCCAAGATCCCTCCTCTGAGCAGTGCAGCCTGGGGAATATACATGTATATTCAAACAGTTATAAAATATTTTGTGCTGATTTTTATCTTGTTAGGGAAATACATGTATTTAACCAGGTATGTGTTTGAGTTAAACTTATATGGGTTTAAATAACTACTCCCCATTCTTAGAATAATGTAGAAGGGCTTGCCCCCGGTAGTGAAGAGTATATTCTATTGTTGATCAAAATTCTCTAAATCTCAGTGCAGGGAAGTGTAAATGGAATGAACGCAAAATTTGTTTGTATATATATTAAAGTTATCCATCCTATTGGCCTATCAGAAAGGCCCTTCAGTGCTATGTTGAAGATCTGGGTTTAGTTTCTGCAGGTTAAACCTTTCTATTCTGGCACTCTGATCTGGCAACATCTGTGATCCAGCATGATTTTAGTTAGCCTGATGTCCACTTATCATGGTGGTGGCCAAGTTTTCTGCAGTTCCATAAAGTTTGTTTACAGCCACCATTCCTGGTTCTCAGTACTGTTGTTTAATTCTAATTTACCCCTAAGGCTACGTCTTCACAGCAGCATTATATCGGAATAATTGACATTATTCCAAAATAACATACTCCATGTCTACACTACTTTCAACATAATGTCAAGCTGGAGGACTTCTTATGCCGACTCCTGTAACCCTCATTTTACCAGGAGTAAGGAAAGGCTGAGAAAGAGTGCTCTTTCTTGGACTTCCTGCTGTGTAGACAGTGCCAAAAGCTGAAATAAGCAATTTCGACTTAAGCTATGCAGTTGATGTAGCTCAAGTTGCGTACCTTATTTTGGCTTTAGCCGTGCTGTGTAGATGTGCACTAAATGTCTTCTGAGAGCCTTATAAGCAATGACAATGCTGATAATGCTTCTAGACAATACTGACTTCCCCTGGTTTTGCAAATTATCTGGTTCAGCAATGGTCAGGTCCCGAGGGTGCCAGACTAGAGAGGTTCAACCTATATTTTTTTGCTTCCAGTCTTTCATGTCTAACTGTCAGGGTAGTTAAACACTGGAATAAATTGCCCAGGGAGGTTGTGGAATCCCCATCTCTGGAGATATTTAAGAATAGGTTAGATAAATGTCTATCAGGAATGGTCTAGACAGAATTTGGTCCTGCCATGAGGGCAGGGGACTGGACTTGATGACCTCTCGAGGTCCCTTCCAGTCCTAGTATTCTATGATTCTATGACTGTCTAGTTTGAGAGTTCCTCGTGACATTTTGACTTCTATCAGTTGAGTGGTATTAGGTGCCTGAAGGGATCTTATTTCTACAATCCGCTTCTGTTCTAGTTCTGGAGATGTGTTGGCCACACTGAAGAGTGAAGAAATGAGGAGCTTCAGTGGGATGAAGGTGAAATTAGGGGAGAAAGTCATCAGAAATCAATAGTTAAATGAATTGTGCTGTGATTTTACTGTAATGTAATGGAGAAGAACACAAACTCAAATGTGTTAAATTGTTACACCAATTTGCTGTTAAATAAGTCTGTTCTTAAAAATACAGAAATGAAAATATTTTTTTCATTCTTTGAGAGAGATCAAAGTTCTTATAATTTTTTGCCAGTTCAGAAGACTAGGATTGAATGAACTGAAGAGCTCTGCATCTTGTCTCTTCCACCAACACAAATTGGTTCAGTAAAATATGTACCTTATCTCTATCCAATAGAACACTTACACTCACATCCTGTTGCCAGTGTAGGGAGCACGGAGGGGTTCATTTGTGGCTCACTGAGCTCTTGTAACTAGGATTTTTAAAATGTTGCCTCTGAGAGGGTTGTGAAGAACATTTTAGGGCCAATTTTAAGACTTTAAGGGAATGATCACGC